CTCGGCGTCGACATCTTGGGGCTTCCTGAGACTGGTGAGCCATTGGATGCTGCTTCTGCACTGGGGATGCCCTCTGACTTCAGCAGATCTGGCCTGGGACACAACCAGCAGAATCTCCACGTTAAACCCCAAACTGAGGAACGACATGGGCTCGGGGCCAGTGGGAAGGGGCAGCTGCAGCCCTGAGCACGCTCTGCTTCCTAAACCCCCCCAGCCTTCCCTCCCCCCTTCAGCTGTTTGACTCCTGCTTTTAGTTGCCTTTGATCCCCTCCACTCAATGTCCTTTCTGTTCAGCCCCATCATGCTCTACACTCCTTTCTTGCTGCTTTTTCCAATATCTGCCACTTAGTCTCTTTTTTTCTGCTCTTATTTTGATGTTCTGCTCCCAAAATAGCTCCCTCCTAAGACCTCGGTGTAGGGCACATCTCTTACCATGTGCATGTACAATGCTCAGCACAATAGGGTCCTAATCTGCTGATAGTTATCAGCCTCCTCATTTCAGAAGCATATGTGGCTATTAATTCAGAAGTGATTACTCACTGTTAATCAGGACTCTAACTCCTGGAAATCCCAGAAAATGGGAGAATAAAATAGACAGCTCCTCTGGGGGAGGGAAAAAAAAAATCATCTCCCTTTCTGAAAGTCATGCAGAAGAGAAAGAGCTGAAAGGACAGCATGAATTCCCAAATCTCAAATCCTAATTTGGTTTCTCAACAACGAATCCACGCTCCCTGAGGAGTGGCTGATTTCCACAATCCCTCACCCTGCTTATTACCAGTAAAGTCAAGGATGATCTAACTGCTCTTTGCTTGGATGCACATTAGATACCTCCTGTCAAAGCACCATCAGCTGTGGAAAAAAATCAATGGACTGAATGGTTCCAGAGAGCTGCCTGGGTAGAAGGGATAGAGAAACAATTGTGGTTCTGAGGATCAGACTGGGCCCAAGAGTGAACATCCCTTTGGTTTGTCCTGTGTTGCCACCAGACTCCAAGGGAAGGAAGCTGCTTGCACATCTCAGTGGGGATCTACTGCTGGTGCCTGGCACAGAACTAGGCTGTTACTTCTTACCGTTTAGTCTGGCTGCCTGGTTTATGGGAGACTCCTTTCCTCTTCATCAGCTTCTCCACTGTATTGGGGTGGATTATTGGTCTGACTGGGTGGCGTTTGTAAGTCCCAGGGTACTTCTTTTCCACTGCTTGTTCCCTCCTGGAACATTGAGGAAGGGAAAAAACAACCCAAACCAAACAGATCAGTTCTTTCTTATCCAATTGCAGCTCCTGCTGGACAGAAACACAACCCCATGGGAGCACACTGTGCCTGCTGCTCAGCTGGGTGCAACACAACAGGCTGTTCTGGGACAGGACACTCATTTTCACTGATTTTCTAAACTCTCTCTGCAGAGGTCAGGCAGTTGGAAGGGGGCCCTGGGGCTCAGTGCAGAGACAGCACTGCTCTCCTCTTTACAACAGGGCCAAAGGGTGCAAATACCAAATGGGAAAGGTGCTTTCCTCTTTTTTTACAGTCAGTACATGCTGAGTAAAGATCTGTGCATTAAGTGATCTGCAGCAGTCTACCCTCAAGGGGCCTCTCTCTGCCAGCCAGCTTTCCTTACCCTGGAAGCTTGTCAGGGGACACTAAATCTACAAGTACCACTATGCAGTTTAGAAATGAAGCCCTATTTTCCTCCTGTGTGCATACAGCCACATGCATGGCATGCCATCATGCCCACAGATACATACTTTATGAGCTCCTTCTCACGGACCTCCAGCTGCAGCATAATAGCACTGAGCTCCATGTACAAGTTATTGGCTCTCTCCAGCTTCCTCTCGTAGTGTTCACGGATATCCAAGGCATGTCTGGGAAACAAAGAGTCATTACTGCAACCCTGTGTCCAGGGACCAAGAGAGGATAAGGAAAAATAGAGGTGCTTTAGGAAGAGGCCTTCTGAAAGTCAGGTTTGCCAGCTGTGTTGCACTGAACCCCAGAGAGAGCTAACAGTGACTGATAATTAAGAGCTTGATACAGCAATGAATAATAATATGATTTAGAAAGTGTTTGACAGTCTTGAAAGAGTAGCAATGTTTCTCACTAGGGAAGCTGCAAGTGCCTCAGACACATACACAAGCCCTTTGGCCAAGCCCTGATAATCCTGTTTGGACAGAGAAGAGTCTCAGTCAGCTTCTAAAGAAACAAGAGAAGAAGTAATCTGTTTCACAAAAAGCACTGTGCTGCTACAGCTCCAATGCAGGTGCAAAAGACAGCTTGGATCACAGCTGGAAGATGTGACCATCACAAGTTCCCCAGGGCTGATCAACAGCTACATCAAACAGGCTGAACAAGGTGTCCTTTGCTTTCTCAGGTTTGACACAGAACTACTACTTGCTGTGTTAAGTTTCTCTGTCAAAACTATGTTTGTAAATTTTTAACAGACACATCCACAAGCCCTTTGGCCAAGCCCTGATTATCCTGTTTGCACAGAGAAGAGGCTAAGTCAGCTTCTAAAGAAACAAGGGAAGAAGTAACCTGTTTGTGTTTCACAAAAAGCACTGTGCTGCTACAGCTCCAATGCAGGTGCAAAAGACAGCTTGGATCACAGCTGGAAGATGTGACCATCACAAGTTCCCCAGGGCTGATCAACAGCTACATCAAACAGGCTGAACAAGGTGTCCTTTGCTTTCTCAGGTTTGACACAGAACTACTACTTGCTGTGTTAAGTTTCTCTGTCAAAACTATGTTTGTAAATTTGCAGCACAGAAACGAACCCTTTTCTTTCGTCAATAAACATTCTGCTTTCATTTTTAAGGTGTTCTTATGTTCAAAATTAATTTCAGTGGGCTAATAGTGTGTTCACTAAGAGTAGGCAGGGAGTGTATTCACTTTTCTAGAAATAACTAATGCAAATTAAACAGCAGGGCAGAAAAAGCCCACAGCAAGATGCATTTTCCACTGAGATAGATGTATCAGCTTCAGTGCTGTTATCACAAACACCAAAACTCAGGCAAGAAACATCCCCTGGTAGGCACACAAGCCTTTGCCCCTCTTTCCTAGGGCAAACTGTTCAGACCACCCAAAACCAGGGACAGTTTCCACTGTAAGGCCTAGGACGTGCCTGTGGGAACGTCACTTTCTGGACTCGGAAGGAATTAAGGCTGCCCAAATTTATGCCACCAGGAATAGTAAGTCCTCAGCACAAGAGGAGCATGAATGCCCTGTGAAGAGAAGCTGAGAGAGCTGGGCTCTTTTAGCTAGAGAAGGCTGGAGGGGAAACATGAAAGACTGGCAACAGACCTCAGCTCTTCTCTTCGACGACGAATCAATTCTTCATCTAGCCGGTGGATGCAAGTTCCTTCACTTTTAATTTTCTCAAAGTGTTTCTTCACTTCTTCTCTCCATTCAGCCTAGGGAAGCAATTTCCTCTCAGGTATTTACAAAGGATTTGGATCTCTGGTTGCACCAAAGAAAAACTCTTGGGCAACGCTCTTTGTGTCAGCAGAAAATGACAGGCTTGGGTTGAAAACGTATTTCTGTTAGCAGAGTTATTCTGGGTAACAACACTGCAGCATGTTTGGCTTCAGCATTTTCAAATGGTACTTCCAATTCTGTGCTCTGATTAGATCATTTAAAACATATCTAGGTTTTCTACAAAATATTTTGAAAAATCCCTAAAGCTCTTTTCATCCCAAGAAAACATTTTCTTCCTTTTTGTTATTTAAACAAAAAAAAGCTTATGGTTTGGAAATGTAGATTCATGACAGTGATGATTGTCACTAGGGTGACACTCTTTGCCCCTTGAAGCCCTGCTTCTTCCAGCTTTAATAAAAGCACCCCCTTCCTCACATACACCCCAACAGTGTAGGGTCTACACTGTGTAGACCCTCTAGCCTGGAGGCAAGGTTTCATTCCCATTCCCTCCTTGGGAGCAGTCAACAGATCACTAGGCAGGGCACATAGGACTCTCCAAAACCATTCTTTTAGATCTTCCCTGAAAGTCCCAGAGTCCCTTTGCTGCCCTGTAACAGCTCTTTGTCCCACTGGCTGCCCTGCTCATCTTCACTAGAAATGCAACGATTCCACCCTCAGCAGTCTCGTGGTCTCCTGTACAACAGTACTGGGAGAACAGCTGGGAGGAGAACATCTACAGTCAGCAGTCTCAGGGAGAAGTGAATGAGACAACACTGAGTTTCTGACTGAAGTCAGCAGATGTCTCAGCTTGGGTAAAAGAATTGAAAATAACCATCCGTTTGCTTCTGCCCAGGAATCCAACTGAAATCATGGATCCAGGCTCTGCTGTACTGAAGCAGCCTCCAAAATGAGATCCTTGGATCTGACTGCAGTGCTCGTGAGCTACAGCCACCCTCCAGTTACCTGTGACTTGAAGTAGGTTTCCTGAGGAGTGGCCAGCACGTCAGCAGATGCAATATCCAGGTGCATCAGCGTCTGCCGAAAGGAGGGACGGTTCCGGGGCTTGCTCTGCCTGCAGCAAAACAGACACCAGGCATGAGAGGAGGGCAGCACTGGGAGCTTCTCCTGTCCTCTGAAAGGGTTATCATACTCTCTCAATCATGCAGCTGACAGGTTAAAACAAAGGAGCTTTTCTGGTTTTCTCGTTTGCTGAATATGGGGTTATTGTGTTAGAGCTGCTTTGTGTTCAGTTTTTGGCTTCTGACAATCTATTCTGAAGAAATAAGAACTTAAAAACCAGCTAAAATACAAAAATGTGATGACAAAGTGAAAGACAGGACACAAACTAAAACTGTCCCTAACTTGTGTGCCGAGCAGAAGCAGATCTCAGTTCATTACCCCATTAATTTCCCAATTTTATAATGGGAACTCTCGATTCTAGTAGAAATGAAAACTTCATTCTTCAGCCCCCTCTCCCCTACAAACCACCCACCTCCACTAGGTGGGGATACAAGTGTGTGCATGTGTGTGCTCGGTGTTGCAGCAACTGCTTCCTGCCTTTTGCAGCCCTGCAGAGAAGCCCAGCCAGGCAGAGCAGAGATAGTGGGACTGCAGGACCTGCAGCTCAGGGTCAGGATCAGCCACTTGAAAAGATCCATGGATGCTCTGCCTTGCTCCTCCCTTTGTGCCACTGAGAGGATGGCTGGTGAAGCTCATGGACTGGGAAAATGCTGGAAGACCACTTACCCTCTGTGTCAAGATGCAATGACAAAGACAAAGCATCAAGGCAAAACACAAGACAAAGAATTTCAGCTCTCTGGCACGTGGAGGAAACTGAAAGCATTTTCCATATCTCTACCTCTAAAATCCTGGTTTCACACACAACACTCGAATTTCTCTTTGTCCAGTCACTTACAAGGGGGTTTCAGATTGAAAAATCATTTCCTTTCCCTCTGGAGCCAGCCTCAAGAAATTTTACCCTCTGCTGCCTTGCCACCTCCTTTTCTCTTCCCACAGAGCTGCCTTTTATCAGCTACTTTGCTCCAACAAAGCAACCATCTTTGTGAAGGCTACTGGAGATGAGCTTCATGCTGCCTGCTCCCAATTCACACTGGACAAGCAGCTCATGTGGAACTGTCACTCTGCTGGGTCCCACCCATCAAGCTCTACTATCCCTAACTTCTCTCTCTTCAACTCCTCCTGCCTCACTAGCCCATCTCAAAAGTGTCTGCCCATTCCCTCCCCTGCCCAATCCACCCAACAAACCAGACAGGTTTCTTCCTACTTCCTCTAAGGATCAAATATCCTTCTGCTGCCACAAGGAAGCACAATCCAAACTGTTCAAACTCACTGCTCTCGTGCCCAGTGTGAGAGCATTTAGAAGCCCTCTGCTCTGGGCTCAGCACTCCCAACCTGAGTCTGGTTTCACTGGTTTTACTGAGAGTCTGGCAAGAGCTGGGAGCCAAGCCCCAGTTCTGTGCAGTGCAGGGTTTTGAGGCTCTTACCAGGTCTGCTTCATGAGGATTTTGAAGCCATCTGGGCAGGTGGAAGGGACAGGAAGGTGCAGGCTGTTACTGCCCACTCCCCAGATGATGGCTGAAGAGTCCACATCCTTGTAGGGAATCTCTCCTGTGAGCAGCTCCCATAAAACTACCCCAAACGACCTGGTAAAGAAATAAACCAGGATAAAAGCTTCTTTGGGAGTTCAACATAACAGAAACATCTGAAGCTTGAACAAAACCACTGTTTGTTTGGCAAAAGAGGGAAACAGGTATGTCTGATCTGAAACTGCAAGTAGGTGCAGGGGTGTTTACATACTAGCTTTTAAACAAGAGTAGCTATTGCACACACCAGGTAACTCCTCCTTGGGGCCTTCCCAAGCTCTTCCATGGGCTGAACACCAAACCACACTGGTTTTCACCCACCTTTTCCTGTTTCTTTGGGAGATTTTAAAAATCCTGAAAGCACATTTTGTGTGCAGATGAAATCTTACTCCTGTTAAATGAAAAGGTAAGTTAGCTTTTCTGAGAGAGACTTTCAACTGTTCTTATTTGGTGGCAGAGAGAACTTCTTGTGCTTTATAGAGACAACACAACAAAGGTTTTGGGTTGGGTTGGGTTGTTTTTCCCTAGCCAAAAACTCCCTCTGCTGTTATGTGTACTCCTAGGTAAGAGATCCATAGATCTGAGACTCAGCACTAAAACTATTGCAACACAGAAATTAAGAAACAAATGCAACATGCATAAGTGTCAGTACTGAAAGCACAGGGAGTCTCATCTGGTATTTCTCTTGTGCTGAAGAAAAGAAGGCTAAAGAAAGAAAAAATATTAAGAAAACTCTTCCCAGGAAAGAGCCTCCTATGACAAGAAGTGAAAGATGTAGGTAAGAAATCCTACTTTCCTTCTCTTCCTTAGTGAAATGATCAGTAAGGACCAAAAAGAACCTTTTTCTCTTATAAATGAAGGTTTATTTACAATCTTCACCCCATAAAACACCAAAGAAATATCAAACCAGTCAATACAGAGGTGAACAAAATGCTGCTGGGAACTAACACCACTCTTGCTGTGCACTAACAACCAGGCTGTGATACAAGGTGAGGTACAACCACCTCAAGTAACACCCCTAAAGACCTATCACCTTACTTGCAGGCTCCATCCATCTGTGGGACACCAACCCTGCCAAGCCTGCTGGCAAGTCAAACTAGGTGAAAAGTGAGAAGTACATTTCTGGCTTGCAGTAATATCAGGTTGCTTTTATTAAATACAGGAGATCATCTAAGGGACAAACTGCCTGGGTCTGAACAACCATCAGTCAAGGAAACAGAACTTCATGTGAAAATGTTGCACTTTCAAAAGATCATTGGCTTCAAAGCATGTGGGGAAAAAAAAGAACAAAACAAAACAAAAAGCAGAATTTGAACATTTTTTCCCTCATTTTCTTTTTCTGTGGGCTGCAGGAAAGCAGAGATCCAGGTGGTTGGACAAACCACCAGGAAATCCCATCTGGTTTCAGCTTTGTTATGATTAAGAACTGGCAAAGGATTTTCAAGACTCCTGATAAGATTATAGAATTTTTATTTGTTCTTAGCATGCTGTTAAAGATGAGAGAGAGCAGACATAAGAAGCTTAGGAACTGTTCTCATTTGTTGTCAGCATTCCTGAACATTGCTTTTGCTCATCTTGGGGGAAAAAAGGATGTTAAGGAGTTGGAGCAATCACCACTGCAGAGGACTCAGGAGGAACTGGTACCAAAAGCACCTCTAGATCTTCACCAAAGAGCAACATCTCCAAGTCACTGAGGAAAGGAGCAAGGCAGTGCCCAGAGTCCTCAGCAGAGTGAGCAGCTGGTTTTTATGGACATGATGGGCACAATATTCCTGAACCTAAGCCACTCTAAAGGACAGGAAGCTAAGGGTGGAAATCTAGCACTATTCCTCCTCAGGAACCTGTGATTCAAAGGGAGGAGCACAGAGGACAAATGGTGAGTATTTTCTTTCCAAAACAAGCCAAGAGTTTCTCCTAGAAGAGCTGGCTCTGCTGGAGCCATTTCATCCACATGAAACACAAAACACTGCAGGCACAAGAAGAGCTGTAGACCACAGATTAAAAAACTTTCCCTTTCCCTCCAGGAAATCTTGACTGAAGTCATGATCCAGCTCCAAGCTAAAACAGCAGCAGCAGGCTGCTGTCTGACTCCACTTGCACTCTGAACCACCCGTGGCTTTGACCTGCAGCTCCATGCTGTGTAAGGGAGGTGCTAGAAGCTGAAAAACAACACAAAGGAAAATTCATCCAGGCTGTAAAGCAGGGAGAAGGGATTTTGTCCTGGCTACTGACATTTAATATGTAGAAATAACAAGGCAGAAATACAGATGGAGTTCCCTTGAGGACCCTGAAACCTGTGGACAGGCATCCCAAAGGAGCTTCAGGGCTGACTCCTCTCTGCATCACTGTTAACAGAACAGAGATCTGAACCTTTTCTTGTGTTCCTCTGGATGCAGAGTACATTTGACATGGGAGGGAAATGGGTGTTCCACATTCTTACAATGTACCCTGGTTTCCTCGATCCAGGATTAGATTCACTGGACTGTAATCCTGTGGCTGTACATACAACAGCCAAGCCCAGCATGCAGAGAGCTAAAGGCAGTCAGACCCTTCAAGCCAGCAGAGTAGAGACCCTCCTACAGCTCAAGCACAGCCCTGAAGAGGGTAGAGAGCAAGTGAAAAATATCCTAGAGCTGCAGAAGCTGCTGAGGAGGCCCTGAGCACCAGGAGTGGAAGCAAGCTCTGGCCTGAATAATGACACAAGGGAAGAACTGTTGCATTTGCTTAGACATCTGCAAGACACAGCCTCCACTGAGCCTCTGTAGGTACCTTCAGATCTCACCCCACAACTTTTGGACACGTTTGTCATTTCTCTTTCCATTACAGCCCAGTGACAAAGGCTCAGTGACAAAGGTCGGGGCACGAGGAAGATGGAGAAAGGAACAATCCACCACAGAGCAAACCATCCCCATGCTTGGGATGGGAAAGGAGTGGTGAGAAATGGAAGTGCTGGGAAACCAAGTGGCTAAAGAGAAGGTGAAGACATTTCAGCATCAGCACTACTCACCAGATATCCACCTTCTCAGAGACGGGCTCGTTGCGGATCACCTCTGGGGCCATCCAAGCCACCGTTCCAGCAAAGGACATCTTGGTACTTTTATCACTGAGTTCTTTAGATGTACCAAAATCAGAAATTTTTACTGCATCTGTGTGTGTAACTAAAACACTGGAGAGGGGAAAAAAAAGAAAGACATCAGCGTTTTGGAATTTTTCTTGTATCACAAGAGGTAAATCTTTAATCAGCACGGACAGCTAATGAGGCCATGCTGTTCACAACTGCAGCACAAGGAGAAAAATGATGCATTTTCACCAATGAAAGCACTTACTTTCTTTGGGGTGATGGTGTTTTGTTGTTCAAATGCATTTCTAGATGCTAGAAGTTCAAAATCAATCCTTATAAAATTAACAAGTCACTGAAGAGTCACTCTATCTGAGGACATTTCAGCAGTTTAGTGCAACTCTACCTCAAGCTGCACTGTGAACCAGCTGAAAATATTATCTTAACACAGTCACAGCCATGTCATAGGCTGAAGTGATAAACATCTAGGGAATAAGAATATAAGCAGACAGATAGTTCTTAAAAAGCAACAGAGAAGAGAACAACACACTGCAAAAAAAACCAGGGAAATAATAAAAAAACAAATAAGGAGGAAAAACAAAAAAGCAGAAGACAACAGAATTTCCCACTTTCAAAAAGGACCAGACACCATCAAATCATTAGAAATACTTCCTGACTGCTATTTATCATGTAAGATACTGGTAAAATTTCCAGTCCTGTTAAACTGCAGCACAGGAGGGGAGTACCAACAAGTTTCACTAGTTTCACTCTAATTTGTGGAGAAAAAAAAACCCAAAACAATGCCAAAACCAGGGATTTCGACCTATACAAGGGGAGGATGTTGAAGTAGAGACTCACTTTGGTGACTTGAGGTCTCGATGGATGATTTTGTGAAGGTGCAGATAATTCATCCCACTGGCAATCCCTGTGGACCAATCCACAAGCAACCGAGGGGTGACCTTCCGTCCTGCTCGCAGGACTTCGTAGAGCTGTCCATGGGCACAGTACTCCATGATGATACAGTAGCATGGGGCTTGAGTGCAAACTCCCCTGCCAAAGAAAACACAGAGCTGGTGAGGAGCAGCAGTCCCAGAGCAACCCTCAAAGGTGGCAATCGAGGGGCGGGAGAGTTTTACTCTCCTCTGCCTCTTTACTCTCCTCTGCCTCTTTACTCTGCCTATTTCCCCTGCCTCTTCTAAGAGCTCTCCTTCCTCAACAGCAAAGGGAATGTCTCCTCCATGCTTTGGACAGAAGGAACCTCAGCCATGACAGGGGTGGGTTTCCCTCAACTCCACACCTGCAGGTTTGTAGGGTTCACAGCACTGAGCGAGCAGAGCGTCCACAGCTTTATCTTTACAAGAATATGCAACCAACAGCAAGGGGAATGTCTCCTCCATGGAGACATTCTTTGGACAGAAGGAACCTCATCTAGGGGTGGGTTTCCTTCAGCTCCATACCTGCACATTTGTAGGGTTCACAGCACTGAGCGAGCAGAGCGTCCACAGCTTTATCTTTACAAGAATATGCAACAACTTGAGAGCAAGCATGACCAACTATTTTGTCCTGCAGACAGCTTAGTCCACGGATTTTAAAAATTTGGCCAGGGTACATAAGCAAATGGCTCTTCCCTGGATAAAGGTACATTCCAACAAGCTTTGCCACCTACTTGAAGGCGATGATGTTCGGGTGTTTGAGCTTCCGCAGGTGCTTGATATCCGTTTCGTTCTGGTCTCTCACTTTCTTGATGGCCACCTCCTCTGCCCGGAATTTGCCCAGGAAGACAGCTCCCTGGGCACCACTGCCCAGCCACTGCAGCTCTGAGATCTCCTCGAATGGCACCTCCCAGGTATCTAGGCACAGGCAAGCAAAGGTGTTGATGTGAAAGCTCAAGACGGCGAAACTGTTGTGCTGCAAGGTCACAGCAGGACAGCACCTGCCATCTCCCTTGCTAAAACTCAAGGAAGGCTTTTCTGGGGGCAGCAGATGGCATCTTCTCCTGGTACAGGCACAGGTGACACACAGACCGTAGCTGCTCAGCCTCAGCATCCCTTTCATCCAGCTCCTCTTCCCCATCACATCACCTCCAGCTGTTTTTCCAGCAGAGCTCACCACCATGCTAAGCACGCAGGTAGCTGAGCTGCCTTGACTTTGCAGCTGCTTTCAGGCAGCAGTTTAACATATTAGGGACACTGGGTTGGCAATTTAGGGAGGAAGCCCTCTACTCCAAAACTGAATGATGATCATCTCCATAAAGCACCTGACTCCATTGAAAGGCAGAGATGAGAAGAAATATTTAACGTGGATGACCAGCAGAAGCCTTGTTGTCTGTGAATCACCTTGAAATTGCCTTAAACATCCCACAAACAGCAAGATAAAAGGCAGGCAATAATTTATTTACTGCAACTTGATAAACATGTTAAGTTTAGACAATAAATTATTTAGCAGCAAACCCAACAAGTAACCCACTGATTTCTCCAAAGAAAGTTTCACCTGCACAGACTCCTCTTTCAGAGCACTACAAAGATGTGTTTTCTCATTCCATCCAGTCTCGGAGCCACTGGGCTGTCCCCACTTTTAGATACTGTCACCACTGAAGGGAAACTTATATACTCAAACTGTCTCTGGACTGATCCTGATTCAAATCTTTCCCTCAAATCATTCCTGAGACAGTCAGACACTAGCTGGAAGTCTCATGAAGAATGCCTGCTCTCCAGGCATGGCCAAGGAAAGCCAGCTCCCAACCTGGAGCCAGACCCCAGCACACATTCTGCTCACTCAACTAGAAAAAAAAATACTGCTAATCTACAGCAAAAATTTCCTTCTACTTGTCAGGGCAAAGTTCAATTCCCAGCACGTGTTTCTTCATAGACAAAGGTCTATTTTTCATATTGATATATCCACTTGCAACCTGATGTTGTGCAAAAATGTTGACAGCACATCTTAACCACAGGACATTCAAGCATTTTAAAATAACAAGCATTCCCCTTCACCAAACAAGCTGAGCAACTTTTGACACAACGTTTATAATTGGTATTTAATCCTTTAGACAGCCAGACACTAAAAGACAGTTCTTTAAATAAGGCAAATAAAAGAAAATAAGAAAATTTAGAAGGTCTGTATTTCAATTTCGTTCACAAATGCATTGCTTCTGGAAGAAGGTGGCAAATGTAGCTGATTTTGAAAAAAATCTAGGTTTTGTGTTTGTTGAGGGACAGCATTTTTTACCCAGGCAACACTGAAACTGTTCCATTGCACTGAGGTGGCTGTTTCTTTACCTGTGAGAGGACTTGCATTGACAAGCATGGATCAGGGTCATTCATTCCCCTGAAGCACCCAAAGTCTGTGAGCAGTAAGGGGTGACTATATTGCTAACACCTAGAAGCCCTAATTTGCTCAATATGACCTATTAACCACTTCAAAAGCAAAGGCAGAGAGAGACTGTAAACAAAATAAGGAAAAGTTCACACACTTCCTCCTGCAGAGCCAGCTGGTGTTTATTTGGTAAGATGTGTCCTTTCCCACATCCCATGTGCACCCTGAGCATGGAGGGCAGGATTCAGAGCTTTCAGTGTAGTAACCATCAGTGAAACCTCCCACATCTTTGGGGATTTCAAGAGGAACAAAGAGCCAAACCACAGGTCACAGCCCCTTTCAGTGTCCAGAACCACGTTACTCCATGCCAAGCCAGTTCATCAGCAGTTTGTTTGGCTCCTCTAACATAGCAAGCACTAAAAAGCTGCCCAAAGAAAGTGATGCTGGTGCAGGAAGCACTGGGCTACACTCAGGTGTAAACCAGGATTAGCACTAGTGGTGCAAACCTGCATTTTCTACTACAGCCCAAAGCCACTGGTTAAAAAAAACACATTTAAATGACCCTGTGTATGTGCTTCCTACAGCTCCCTGGGACCACCCTCAAGGCCAACAGCCTGACAAGGGTCAGTGCTACAAAGCCAGTCTTACCAGCTCTGCAAAGAGGCAACAGCAAGGCTGGAAATGAGAGGACTCAACACACTTCCAAGCTGGGTCCAGCTGGAAGCTGAGACCATGAACATCACCTGGACAGCAGGTCACAAAGCTCTCCTCACTGCCTGTCCAGACCCACCCTGAACAGCCCACAGTATCCTGATGGACAGCATGGTGAGTTATGGCAGTCCCAGCTATGGTACAAGGAGAAACAGCATGGGGAAGGTGATGCCAAGACCTCTGTTACCTCAACCAACAGCTTGAGACAGAAAAGGACTTGTATGATGCAGCTGCAGGAACTTGGGTGTGTGGCTACAAAGCCTAAATACAGCTCAGTCCAAGTGCCTGTCCTCCAATGAAACCTCAAGGGAAACCTGTCTGGACACACTGATCAGGACTTGACTGTGCTGCCAGCCATCTTCAAGCAGCCCATTAACACTGCTCAGCTAAAGAGCCCTTGAGTTGCCCAAACTTCAGGGCTTGCTGCAGCTCTCCTAGCACTCTGCAGAAGAGATATGAGGATATCTCCTACCAGGAAGGAGCAGTTTTTATTTCAGCCTCTTCTGAACCTACAGAAACCTGTGGGCCACGTCCCCTAAATAAACTGAAGTGTGACAGCAGCAGGAA